AAGATGTGCCATTCTCACTGGGGTGAGGTGGTATCTCATGGTGGTTTTAATTTGCATCTCCCTTATTATGAGTGATGTTGAACATTTTTTCATATGCTTTTTGGCCATCTGCATTTCCTCTTGGGAGAAGTGTCTTTTAGCTCTTCTGCCCATTTTTTGATGGAGTTGTTTACTTTCTTTTTGTTGAGTTTAGTCAGTTCTCTGTATATTTTTGTGATCAATCCTTTATCACTGTTTAGTCTGTACAGACTAAATTTGCCATTTGGATGGAAAATGACTTCTAAGTTTCTTATATTTGGAAGTGTGATTTGATTTTTAAGCTTGGCTTCCTTACTGTAACCTTTTGGATCAGAGTTGCTAGTTTCCAGTCCATGCTTATTAGTCAGAGTGTTAGCCTAAATCCCCAAACTACTAAGGTTCATGTTTCTCTGACTGCTTCTAAGTGGGTGCAGCTTAGTATATGTGCATAGCTTTCTGTATCCCCAACAATGACTAGGATCCCAGGATTGTTCTTGGTTGTCTTTTTCACTCTTATTGCTAAACTCCTGGCTGGCCTGCTTGTTGCTACTACTAATGTGGAGCTACCAGCTTGCTTTTAGTTACTCAGCAGCAAGGTCCCCTTTGTTTTTGACAGTGCCCTCAGGCAGTGTCTTCTCCCTACTCTATTCCAAACAAAGTCAGTCCCCTCTGATTCTCTCATTTTCCCTTGGAATGAACCCTCTGTGCCTCAATATTGTAGTTGGGTGTAGGAGCAGGGCATGCCTCCTCTGTAGTGGCTTCCTCCTGTATGAATGGATGCTGGGAATATGGTAGCCCCTGGTCTTAAGACTGTCTTTCTGATATGGAATCTCTGCCCAGTGAACTAGCCTGCAGAAGCCTGTCAGGATCTCATTATTCTTGACCTGTTATACCTTGTGTAGCGCCCCTAGCTTAAGAGTGAAAAATGGGTGAGGAAAGAAGACCCAGTCTCCTCACTGTGCTTGCCTAGAATAGTACTTCCACAATATAGGCCTGTGAAGGATAAGTGAGACTGGCAGTCTGACTGGCCCAAGGTGAAACCATAGCTTAGGATTCTTGGGAGCTGAAGGGAGCGGGAATTCCCACCTTGCTGCCAGCATGCATCTGGAGTATCTTCTATCACATGGAACTGGTGGGATAGAAGCAGGTCAAAACAGTCACAGATTCAGCATTCTTACTGAGATTTAATTGACTAAAAAATGTTTCCCCCTTTGCTATATAACCTTAAGATAATTTCCGGAGACTTCAAATGGTTATATGTTTTGATGATTTTTTTTTTCTTCAGACAAATGATTATTCTTTACTAGGCGTATAATCAAGGGCTCCTTATAACACTGTTTCAAAAATTCCACTACTCACTGGTTATTTTAAAAACAGGAAATAAAAGGTTTAACTGACCAAAGGATACCTGTATGACATAGGACTTATGTTGACTTGGCAACATTATATTTTGCTAGCAAATTGAAGACTCAGTTCATTATTTCTGGGGTTTTTAAAGATTTTATTTTAGGGAATATTTTAAAATAATTCATTCAACTTACTTTTTTTTGACACACCTCCCTTGGAATAGTTTTATGGTATGTGATCTGTTTTATTTTTTTTTAAGTTTTAAAACTCTTGAGTTTCTTATTAATATAATTTTGGTTATCAGAATGTCCCAATGGATAATATGGTTTGTTAATTGAAGTAGGAAACTGAGAGTCAAATGTCTCTCTACTCCCCAACTTCCCACTCTCATTTTAAATACTAATCTAAGAAAATTAGGAACTTCTTAACTGATAATTGGTTCATTCAGCTGCAAAATGGAACAAATAAAAAATTTATTTCTTGCAAGGGCATTGTGAGACTTAATATGATTAAAGCATTTGTTTCTGTGAAGACCCCTGTATTTGTTTTATTGCTATATTTACATTTATTAGTCTTTAAAATGTGCCTATTAAATTACATTTTATATACACATATAAACTAGTTTAATGCAACACACACACAAACACACACAGCCAGACAGAAAAGAGCAATAAATAAATTATAGTATTGATTTGTTGGATGGATTTTGAGGTAATTGTGGTTTTCCACAATTAGAAACTATTATTACAATTGATTTTCATATATTAATTGGTTAATAATCTGTTGTAGTACAAACTAGAAGACTTGAAGTAAAGTATAATTATACCATGTATTCTCAACAGTAAGTACTCTTGAAAACATATATATGCTTTATATATATATGTAATATATATATATAATTTGAAAAGAATATATATTTTTTTTTCTTCTTTTAATGATAGCCAAAGTTATGATATTGGGAGAATGGATAAGAATTCTGTTGGACCAGAAATGCTGGTAAGGACCATGTTAAATATTGTAGAAACAAATTGAAAGTATATAGTTTATGTTGTTGTTATAAAATCATAGACATCTAATTCCTTATTTGTGTGTAGATCATACACTGGGAATATTATTTAATATCTCAGTACATTATTATTATTATCTGCCTTCTGGGTGAATTTTTGTACTCAGGAGTTAATAATATATGTAAAGTGCTTAGAATAGTGTTTGACTTTGCAAATTTTAACTTTTATTATTGCATATTAAAAATTTCAGGTTTTCCCCTAAGTACCCAGATAAAACATACTTGGTTTGAAAGTTAATTTTGTCAAGCAAAATGTGATTATATAAATAATTCTGGTGTAAATCTAACATATGCTATAGCAGAATAGAATTTAAAAAATTATATCTATCTTTTTTTTTAACATCATTCTTCATTTTGTATGTTTTTTCATCTTGGTTGTAATCACCATGGACTTCCCACCACTAATTCACCTGTTACCATATTTTCATGTGCTCTTCATGCCCCAGTTTTGATTTTATTCCCCTCTCTGCCCCTGTAGAATATCTTGGGTTTATAGTTTGTTGATTTTCATTTTTACTTTATTATAATTACTTTTTTTTTTTTTTTACCTGATCCCTTACACTCCTATGATAAAACCATCCAGTATTTTTCTTTTTCTTTCTGGCTTATTTCACTAAGCATGATCCCTTCCAGTTCCATCCATGTTGCTGCAAATGGCATGAGTTAGAGTTTTTTTTCTTTTCTTTTTGTAATATACCAATTAAAACATAACTGAGCACCTATATGTATCTAGCAATGTTATAGATGGGTGAGTAAGTAAAAAAGAAGTGTAAAATGTGGCCTCTACCTTTAAAAAACTTCTTTTAATAATAAAATCTATGTAAGTGAGTATAATAGAATATCATTCAGCTTTCAAAAAAAGGAAATGCTGATATATGCTACAATATAGATGAAAGTTAGACATTTTATATCAAGTGAAACAAGCTATTTAGGAAAGGACAAATATACTATAGTTTCACTTAAAAGGAAACAATTTGAATAGTCAAATTCATAGAGACACAAAGTAGGGTAGTGGCTGTAGGATTTTAGAGGGAGATAAATGAGAAGTTATTGTCTAAGGGGTATAAATGAGAAGTTATTGTCTAAGGGGTATTGCCAGATTTAAAGAGTTCTGGAAATGTATGGTAGTGAAGGATGTGCAATAGTATGAGTATACTTAATAGTGATGAACCATATACCTAAAAGTTAAGTGTAATTAAAAAAATGGTTAAGATTGCTAATTTTATGTGTATTTTATCATGAAATTATAGAAAAATTGCAATATAGTCACATAATAGAATAGATGAACTACAGTAATCACATCTATATTGATGTCTTCACGTGTAATGTTAAATAAACAAAGGAGTTACAAAGTAGTTATACATTCTGTGATTCCATAAATGTAGATGCCCAAAATGGGTAAAATGAATACATGAAGTTAAAAGTCAGGTAATTGGTGACTTTTGTTTGGAATATGTGAAAAGAGGCATGAGTTGAGCCTTCTCTGTTAATGTTGTTTCTTGATTTCCATGTTGTTAATGTACATGTGTTCACGTAAAAGTCCAGAACTACACTCTTAAGATTTTTGAACTTTTATTATATACTTTATACTTCAATTAAAATTTCAAAAATAGTTAAATAACTGGTGTAGGGTGGAAGATAGTATTTAAGTGTGAATTGAAATTTAATATTCATATTGCAAAGTATAGGGAAGTAAGATTATGAAGTAGTTTTTCTTTCACGCTGGCAGTACTTTACTGAGATGTAATTTATACAGTCATACACTATTTAATGATGTTTTGGTCAGCAGTGGAATCCACATATGATGTTTTTCCCTATAAGGTATATAGTAGGCCATATTATCCAGATTTGTGTAAATAAATCTTTTGTTTGTACAGCAACAATGTCCCTTAACACATTTCTTATAATGTATCCTCATCATTAGATAACATATGATTGGATATACTTAAGTTGTAAATCTTAAGTGTACAGCCTGATGAGTTTTAATGTATCTATGTAGTCTTATAACCACAGTACAGATCAAGATACAAAAGTTCCCCTCATTCTCAAAAGTCCCTTGACAACTTGCAGTAATAGTCATTACTGCCCCTCCCAAGATAAAACCACTATTTTGACTTCAATTGTTATAGGCTATTTTCAGCTTTTATTGAATTTAATATAAATAGAATCATACAGAATGTACTGCTTTATGTCTCAATTCTTTTAATATAACAGTTTTGAATTTCATGCATTTTGTTTCATCTTTCTGATTAAATTTGACCCTTTTATAAAATACCTAAAATCTTTCTTAGAGATGCCATATTTATTCCATAAATGTCCTCTGGGTTAGTTGAGAATTGCTATACACAAATAATAATGATATTCAATACATTATATGCATTTTATTTGCTCCATCTTAGTTTCTGAATTTAAAAGATATGAAATACAACAACCTAAATGCCATTTCTCTAGATTAAGTGCCTAATGTACTTAACATATATGTATATATATTTTTTAATTAGAAGGTTATCTTTGTCTTGATACTTGGAGGAAGGTTATTCATTGAGATAGGACTCCATCTTTCAAAATGTGAATCTGTAGTTAAGTCCATGCTGTTGAAAATCTTTTCCCTTATCAAAGTGCAAACCTGGTCGGACTAAATTTAGCAATAATTTATTCATTTTAAAATTGAGTTGGGAGAAATCTTCTCTGTAGGAAAAGCATATTTGTGCTTACTAAAATGGCAGTATGTATGACACCAATTGGTTAGTCCCAACTAGGCTGTGAAATCTTTGAGAGGGTTTATGTCTTTCTAGTTACCTCTTTCGATAGATACCTAATATATTGCTGTCTATATATTAGGCGACAAGACAGTTAAATATTGCTGTGACTTAGTTTCCTTATTTTTAACGTGAGGTTGTTAATGTTCTTTAATGATAAAACACTGATAAGAAAATATTTAAATAATCTATTACTAGAAGGTTTTTAGACAGTATTTTGTGTAGAGAGCAGAAACAACATCCCAAGACAATGTGGTTGTTTCAGGAAATGCTTTTTCATAATGATGACTGTAACCATGTATTAGTCAGCTATTCCATTGCAATTTAACCCTCAGCTGTGTGCTTTTTTTTTTTTTTTTTTTTTTACTTTTAATTATAGGCTAAAGTTCTACGGTTACTAGCCACCGCTTATTTGGATTGGGATGACAAAGAATGTTATGAAAAGGCTCTCAGAACTATAAATCTAGCAAATAAGGTATAAGAGATTTTTACATTTTAATATTAGCTTAATGAAATTTTCAAAACTTTGATTTACATTCTGAAATGCAGTTTAGACATTTGCTGTAGTATTCCTTGTCTTAAACACCAGGTTGGTGTAGTCCCTTCTTTAGCATACCCACACAAAATGCTTATTTGACTACAGATTTTTTTAAAAAGATTTATTTTTTTATTCATACAGAACTGGGGTACAGGCCAGAGATGCGGAGAGTGAGAGGATTCACCAGAGATAGAGTGGGGAGCAGAACAGGCAGATTGATGAAGCACACTGCTGAGGAGAGTAGCGGGCAGGTCAGGAGAGGTCTGCCACGCCATGTGGATCTCCTCCGGGGCAGGCAGGGATTGAACTCATGCAGAAGTGGCTTAAGCTTCTTAGTGTTGTGCTTAAAAAAAATTCTTTCTCCTGAAAGAAAAGATACTGTCTGCTGTGAATTTTTAGGATAAAGAGGGAAATGATGGTAAAATAGGCAGATAATGGGGTCTAGTTTAAAAAACAATTTCAGTTCACTTTCAGCTCATGTTCATCTGTATATAACACATACATTTACACTCCTGGACAAGGAACATTGATGTTGATGAATGTTTAACAAGATCTTCAATTAGGGTCAATGTGTTAACTAAGACAGTTATATATTGATACATTTTAGAATTGTATATATATATGATTCGAAGCATGAAAATGAATAGTTCAGTTAATCAGAATATTAATTTGACAAACAGATCATTTGCTTGAATTATATTTTCCTGAAATTTATATCATTTGGATGGGTTACTTAATGACAGCATACTTCTTTAATATTACATTTTTAAATTTAAAAATATTAATAAATATGGACATATTCAAAAGTTGAATGCTTTTTTGGCAGCTTCAAAGATGCAAATATAAATAAAAGATGCACCGGGACAGTTGAGGTTACATATTAATTATATGTGAATTCTTGCTAGCATGTCTCTGTTCACTGGATGCAGAGGTTGCAGTTTTTAGAACAACAGTTGCTCATTTGCATTACTCCTGACATCACACTAAATAGTCTAATTCTTGATTCTGGATACAGCTGAACTGGTATCTATTAAGACTTTAATAGCAGTAACCACTTTTAAAAGTCTTATTTTATTTGGAGATAATTTCAAGCTAACAGAAAAGTTACAAGTGTAAGAATAGTTCAAAGAACACCTCTATATACTATGTTATAACCAGATTTCACCTGTTATTAACATTTGTGCACTTTCTTTTTCTCTCCATTTTATTGAAAAACTGTAATCCAAGCTACAATTACTGAGCATACAAACATAATATCCAAAATAAGTTATGTACTTACATATTGAACATATTTATATATAAATCTTTCTAAAATGTATACATAATATACTCTCAGTAATTAACTATATTTGATAATGTACTACATACCCTCAATAATGAACTTTACAACATTTTTTATCTCCCCAATATACCTAAGATCAGGCATTGTATTAAAATGTCATGTTTCTTTAGTCTCATAATCTGGAACATTTCATAGCCTTTCTTTGACTTTTGTCTCATTGACAATTTGGAATAATATAGTAGCTCCCTATCTCATTGTAACTGAAAGTTTCTTCATTTGTTTATCTGGTATTTCCTCACTATGAGATTTATCTGGTATTTCCTCACTATGAGATTTCCTCTAGTCAGGAATATTATGTCTTTTCTCAGGGTATCATATCTGGAGACATATGATGTCCATCTGTTTGCTTCTCATTGATGATGCTAAAATTGGCCATTTGGTCAAAATTTAGCTCAATTTTTTCATTGCATATTTACTTATAACCTATAAATAAAGGGTGGGGAAACTTAAAAAAATCATGTACTCTGCTTCTCATTAAAATTTCCTTTTAGAATTAGCATTCTTGCCTGCACCAAACTTAATTATATTGATTGTCATATGATAATTTTCTAACCAGCACTCCTTCTACATTTACCTATTGATAAGTTTAACATTCTACTATAAGTAAGAGTTCTCACTACTCCCATTTATTTGATGTTTATTTATTGACTTATTCATTTGTTATCAGTATAGATTTGTATATTCTTATTTTCACATTATAGCTCATTATTCTCCTTAAATTTTTTAAACAGCTTTATCAAGATATTTTGAAATATAAGCTATATATATTTAAAACACGAAATTTGATGAATTTAAGTATATGTATAGATTTATGAAATAATCAAATCACCACAATCAGTATAGTGAATATGTGCATCACTTCCTGAAGTTTCCTCATAATCTTTCTTTTCCACTTTTTCCTAAGAACAACTGATTTGCTTTCTATCAGCATACACTATTTAGCCTTTCATAGAGATTTATACAAATGCAATCATAGCTTACTTTTGATGTATATGACTTCTTTTACTCAGCATTGTTATTCTGAGATTCATTGGTGTTGTATGTATACATAGTTTATTTCTTTAAGTACTATCTCATTATATGGATGTACTATATTTGCTCTTAAATCTACTTTGGTATTTTTAACAGTTACTTACACTTTCTTTTAAAAAATTATTTTATTTATTTATGCATGCAAGAGCTGGGGTGTAGGCCAGAGGTGCAGGGTGGGGGCAGGTGAGAGGATTCATCAGAGACAGAGTGTGTAGCAGTAGGTCAACTAACTGAAATACACTGCTGAGGGGAGCAGTGGGTGAGACAGGAGAGCTCTTCTTGACTATCTGGGATAGAACTCCTGCTGCAGTGGCTGCTGATAGCATCATAATGCTGAGACTTAATCCCTTGTGCCACCAGGGAGGCAGACTACTCACTTTTGACTAGTATTAACATGGTATATATTGTTCCATCCTTTTTCCTATTTTATGTCTTTGTGTTTAAAGTACATCTCTTTCTTTCCCTTTTGACCATTCTTTTCCTTTTCTTTGCCTGGTTATAAGCTTCTGGTCTTACAGAGCATCAATTTTTGGAGCCAGTTATGGGATGGAAGAAGACTGTATGCTGCAACCTCAGCCACCTTCTCTTCCCGGCACTCATAAATGGCCCCAGACCTGCATTCAGGTCCTGTCTTTGTTGCTATCCTGCTCATCATTCTTTGACCTCATTGTCCTGCTGCACTGTATCTTACCCAAAGTTGTGTCCTTAGTGGATAACCTTTCTGAGCTTGCCAGGGGAGCACTTCCTGCTTCAACTAAACCATCCTTTTATCTCAACATGATTCTGGCTCTCTAGTGCAGAGTGTTGGAGGACGTCTAGAGATGGGCTGTTGCAGCAGGCAAGTGGCTCCATGTACATTTCTTTCCAAGAGATTACCTGTTCAAACAAGTACATGTTATTTATTTATTTGAAGATTTGTTTGTTTATGCTTATAGAACTGGAGTACAGGCCAGAGGTGCAGGGGCAGTGAGAGGATTCACCAGAGAGTGGGGAGCAGAACAGGCAGATCAATGAAGGACACTGCTGAGGGGAGCAGTGAGTGGGTCAGGAGAGGTCTGCCACACCATGTGGTCACCTCCGGGGCAGGACTCATGCGGAAGTGGCTTTAGCTTCTCAGTGCTGTGCTTTAACCCGCTGCACCACCAGGGAGGGCCAATGTTGAACATTTTTTTTTTTTAAATTTATTTTTACCTCATTTTGCACATTTTTTTTCATCTCAATTGTAATCCCCACGGGTTTCCCATCACCAAA